TTCCAGACGTGTCATGGCTGAACTGGTGTCTGACCGGCTCGTGTCTCTTCAGCCTCGTCCTCATCCTCTTCTTCAGGGAGTCCTACGACCGTCTCTACTTGGACGTCTTTGTCTCCGTGTGACGCCGCTGAGGACAAAAAAAAAAAAACAACTTGATAATAAAGGATTGAATTAATTACTCTTGCACAAAGACGAGGAGAAAAGGGAGACGAAGGGCGAGTGGAAAGCCTGTGCTCTTTTAAGATGTAATATTTTAGGATGCGTGTGTATATATATATATATATATATATATACTGGTAACCCTGGTGATGGATATGTTGTTTGTTGTATGGCTGCCCTGAAGAACCCTGAAGTTCTACTTTAATGTTTACTCTTTATACGTGACCCACTCAATGCCATATGACTTTTTGACACGTCATTACCTCCATTTATTTGTCGTTTGTATGTCAGCAAACTTTTGCGAACGGTTTGATTTTCTTAACCAGGCACAGCATGACGGACTGTTATTTGTTGTAATATTTAAAGTTGTTCTCAGTGTCCATTGTTTCCCCTCGCGCGATCATCTCAAAGCTCACAACCTGGACGTCAGGCTGACTCCAGATTGGTGAGGCTCCCAACAGAGGAGTAACGGGCAAAAACGGGACAGCCCCGCCAGCCAATCGGCAAGCCTGGCCGGGCCAAGTCGGGGAAGAACGAGGGACCTCGGCGTGTTTTAGTGCTGCTCCAAACTGCAGGCTGTGACTCACTGGGGAAGCTTAACCGGCCCGACACTGTTAAGCGACCTGTGATATTGCCTGTCATTGAGAGGGAGGCACTTACGGTGTTTTATCGCCCTCTCAAGATGAATATTATGCAAATATTATCTACCAGATTGATGATTGGATGCCAGCCACAGGCACGGACTGGATACACCTGCGCTTTTTTTTTGTTTTTTTTCTACCAATGAGCTGTTCATGTGGAAGAAGAAGCTGAGTCATTCGAGGATGTTTAATTTCACAAGTTGCTCAGCCTATTTATGGCTAATTATGTCAATTTCTGAGAGATTTGCTATTTAATCTAACGTTAATTTGTTTCGTACTGTTTTTAATCGTTTGTTTTCCTCAGACGTCTGCCAGTGTTTTTCTGGAAATGTCTCAACACTAACACAGACAACAACCAGTTTCCCCCAAGAAGCAGGATGTTTGGTGACAATTTCAACCACAGCTGAGATGCACTGAGATGAGGGAGATCGTTTTATAATGCAGACTCGAGGATTACTTCCAATTGCCAAGCTGCTCCTCCTCCAAAGCGCCAGCAGGTGTCTTTGAGCCAACTGAGAGTCTACTAACAAAGAAAACCTTAAGGGAAAAAAAAAGAAAGAAAAGGAGACATTTTCATGGATTCTTTGACTGACAAAACTGGAGCTGTGACAAAAGCCGGCTTCATAACCTTAAAGAAACGCATCACTGCAAATGAAAAAGATCTGTCACAAAGTTTTTCGTTCATCTTTGTGTCTTTGTCCCACACAGTAGCTATATGAAGCGTTTTGATGTGTTTCCTCTGGAGTTCAAGGAGGCTCTGTAATGTTTCCTGGTGCTCGTCTTTTTTTCTTCTTTTTTTTACTGTTCTTGTACAAAAAAAAAAGGTGGTCTTTTACCTTTGGACGTGTTGCCTTAATTGCCCAGTGCAGTGCGTTCAGCCTCCCTCTCCTCCACACTGTGACTATTTTATCAGTAGATTTTTTGTAAAAAGGTCATGTTCTTCTGTTCTGTGGCACACACTCTGGTCACACTGCGGTGTCCCAGGTTTCGGTTTTAAATGTTCTTGTTCTGTGGAAAAGAACAAACATGGTTGTCAGATATTTCCAGCACCTTATTAAAATGAACATTTTACAAATAAAACTGCTGTTGTTCTCCTGTTGTTGATCGGGTTGATGAAGGTTGTTTAAAAATATTCAGACATTAATTGCAAATGTTCAGTGCCCTCTGGAGTAGATATGGGATGCTTCTTTCTTTGTGCGCTGACCTTCAACTTACCTTTTTGTTTTGTTTTACTTCTTACTTTCACACTTTCCTGCATTTCCATCAGAGTCCTTTAGTGAGCTTTAGATTAGGGACATGAACTTTATTCAAAGGTGGATGTGTGCTGTGTTGTTCAACCTGGCACAGAGGTGAACACTTAAAACTTCACTTTTCCTGCAGTCATAGCTGATGTCCTTACTCAAAACTCAGCCTTCCTTGTAGCTGCAGAACATTTTAGTGCATTATTTGAAGCTGCAATTTTTAATCCAAGCTTCATTTAAGTGTAACTCCTCTTAGACTGACCGATGAACTTCTTTGAGAATCTTAGAAAGAGACCTTTGTTCTTTCGTTGTATCAGTATTTGGTTACTTTTGTTGATTTTTTTCTATAGCTTGCAGCTGCGATTGAACTGTGTCAGCATGAGGTCATCAACACCTATAATCCGTGCGTCGATTACCCATAACACCCTTTATTGCTTTGGTTTGCAGAAATGTTCACATAAGTTATTTCCATATGCTACATCGATGCTTTTCCATAATGTTGATGGAAAGCAACAAATTTTAAAAACACTTTCCAAAATGGAGGCAGCAGAGGACAAAGCATAGTCACTTTTATGTTGGCAACTGTTTTACCTCTACGAGTCTGTGTGGGGTAAATTTAATCTTCCACCCTCCAGGATCCTCGGGGGCCGTTCCATGGACATAAACCTAAAATTTGTGTCCATGCAGACAAGTTGCAAAGGAGTATAAAGCCTTGACTACACTTCCTTGCAGACGCCCACTTGGGACAGTTGCTATTAGGCTTCTTTTCTAGCCCACTGGAGTCCACTTGGAGGCCTTTGTATAATTCTGTGTATGTATTCTGCACAAGCACACTGCTGCCCTTGTCGCATAAAAGTTTGTTACAGTGAGAACACAAGGATGTTTATGTGCAGCCCAAAGCTCGTGTCTATGTCACTGCTCTACACGGGGCAATGATGTGCATTCTCCACAATAGTGTACATGATAGAAATACGTAGATGTATGGAACAAAGTCATCCGAGGGGACTCCAGTGGATTCCAAAAGTGGTATAATTCTATGTAAGCAATGCATTCTGCTAAGCAGCATATTGCATTTTCAGAGACGAGACATCACATTAGCTGCTCCTCTTTAGCGTAAAGTTGAATTTTAAGCTACTTCGTCTTTGTCTGGCAATCTAGCCACCACTCTCCATCTCTGGAAAGTCCTGGAAAAGCCTTTAAAACTAACTACCATCCATCTAAAATGTAGAAGGTTGCATGGTTTGTTTCTCGCTTCCAAAGTTTTCAAAAGAACCTTTTGGTGAACCATTTTCGTAATATAAAAGAACGTTTCTAAAGCTTCCAAAAACACCCCTATAGACACGTATCATGATAGCAACGACTATACGTCCGTGGTGTCCACAGCTGCACCGTCCACGTCAGCAAGGGAGTATAATCAGTCCTAATGGGTAAAGCATCAAGAACACGAGATGCTACATTTCCCATAATGTAACTATTAATTTTCTTTACTTTCCCATGCCAAGTAATTGCCCACGTCTTTCAAACTCCACATCTTTAGTTTCCAAGACAGGCCTTGGATGAGAAACATGATGATCAGGGTTATTATCTAACACCTGATGAAGCCCCTCCAGAGCTGCACAGGGCGTCACAGATTTAATTCCACACGCTGCCTAGATCTGAGCGCCAAACTGATCATGATTTGTGGTGCTCTAATTTAAAGCTGCTATTAGTAATTATTTGGCACCAACATCATGCAAATGTTTACCGCTGAGAACTTACCGTAATGGTCAGAATTAAAAACACAAGGCTGAACCAATTTTTAGCAACTCAGTTTTAGATTGATGGATGGCTGCAGTCTTGACTTGTGGAGCTTTTATTGTTTACATTCGACTATGTCTTTAAGGAGCAGATTACATCATTGCTCTGGTGGGGCCTGAACTCATTTGCTGTGTTATTCTGGCAGCACACTAACATTCTTGCACATCGTCTTGAGGCGGGAGTCGAGGTTTGCTCTCCGAGGACACCTGCATTCTAGGAAATCTTTTAGTTACCGTGCTTCTGTCTCTCTCTTTGGACACAAATCAGGATCAACATGACCCGTAGGCATGACCTCATTGTTTTTAAAACCCTACATTATGTCCCTGCATGTGTACTCCCCCTCCTTCCCACCGGCGGCCCAGCTGGGGATGAGCTCATGCTCTGTTGCTGGCGAGAACAAAGGTCTCGGAGGTGAGTTAGCATGCAACAGTCTTCAGTCTGGTTCCAATTAGCATCACTAGACTCTGTGTGTGAACCTAAAGTTGCTGCGATCGCTTTAACCTCCCCTATAATATTTTTCTAATGTACTAAACTGGCGTCATTCAACCTGGCAGGAGCTGTGACCTGAACCAGAGTCACAAACGACATGCAACATAACTAAAATAAAAATTGGTTTGGCCTCGAGTAAAGATCAGATTGGATGGTTTTAGGTTGGGTGTGCCTCAAATTACTGCACAGCTTTTTGAAATCAAGCCTGCGGGGATGTAAAATTAATCCACTGTTGGTTTATGGTGATCTGTTTGGTTTTCAGAGGAGCTGTCACATGCATTCATCTCAAATCCTAATTGGAGAAGCCAAGGCCCTAAAACATACCCAGTTTTATCATCTACATTTCTCTAAATGAGAAACATAATTTATAAAATGAACACCATGCTGTATTTTTTTTTAAAAAACTAGCAACTGAGGCCACAAACTTATTGGGAGAATGTTTACTGAAGCAACAAATCAAGTGAGAAGTAGAGTCATTTATTCATAGACTTCTATACAGTTTGACTTCTTCTTGTAACCAGAGGAGTCACCCCCTGCTGGCATTAAAGAAAAACACATATTTTCGGCACTGATTTCACTTTAGAGACACCGAGACAGTCCATCCTTTACAGTCTGGTCATAGTTTTTTCTTTTAGGCATCCGTGGATTAATGCAAATAAAGCCAACATGGAGCCAATTTAGAGCCTCATTTAGCTACCAGTAAGCAAGCTTAGTTTGCAACTGCTTTGAGACACCTTTTCCTCCCAACCTTTGGTATTAGAAGGCAGCGACGATCATCCTATATAGTGTATAGTGGATGTTTTTTTGTTTCTGTTTTGCTCTGTGGAGCTTGTCGTTGACTTGTCTTCTGCTGCTATAGAAACATTTTTTGTCAATAAAGTCGATTTTCTCTCAGCTTGTTTGTATAGGTGATTCAACCTGTAGGATTTCCGTTCCAGTGCTGTAAAGCTCCATTAGACAGTCGCCTGACTGTGTCTACCGGGGAAACGTACAGGAATGTTTATACAGTCTGTCAGCAGAGTTTTCCCTGAAGAGTCGACTTAATCCAAAGGTTCTGCCTCCACACATTCCAGCTGTAACACCTGAAACGAAGTAAAATACATGTACTGGAGGAACATTTACATGTTCAGGAACCATGTCTTCGCAGCAATAGGCGAGGGTGAGCTGACTACACATGCACTGGATGTAGCAGGTCACATACATTTAAGTTCCAATTTGACTTCTAACCCAATTCCTGCTTCAACCAGAGCATTTCTGAAGAAGTTTTTAGTGTACCAATGCAGCTTTTGTTGGTTAATATGTTCTACTATGAGATATAATTTATATAAGTACATTTTATTTTTGAAAAGCCAGCTCATTTCACAAACCCTGATTAGGACCTTTTAACATCTTTGAACTTTTACTTTGACAGGATAGTCCAGTATTAATCAGCCAATCAGCTGCGAGTCACTGGTCGCTGGCCGTGAGCAGAGCAGAGAGAGGAGCAGATGGGCAAACTAAAGATTCGACCCTCAAACAGTCACAACTCAGAAGCTATAGGTCATATCAAAATACTTCTTTTACTCTGTGAATCACAATCTTGTTCTGAACAAGCTGCTGTATTTTCATGTCTGTTCTGTGTGTTACACAGATTTGGTGGCAGGTCAGGGTCTCTCTAACCTGCTACCAAACATTCATAAATGTTAAGCTGCGACTGCATAAAAACGGGAAAAATTATCAAGACACGGATTTAAATCAATCACATTCAAAGCCTTGTGACTAGTTCAAACTTAAATGGAATTCTACTGTGAAATACGCCGGAGCTACAGGGTTCCAAAGACTGCTGGGTTTTGGCAGGTGTTGTTAACAGGCCGTAGTATTTTATGATGGTGTAAGAAGTATTTAGATCCTTTAGTGAAATAAAAGCACTGTTACCCTCCTTAAAAATACTCCAGTAACAGTTAAGACCTGCATGTGTGAGTGAAATATTATTAAATGTACTTAAAATATCAATAATTAAATCACAATTATAATATAAAACGGCACAT